TAAGCAAGGATAAGTATAACATCATCACAGGACCTATTTACTACACAGGATTTCTTGTGTATTTCATTGTTTTCCTCATTTTTTGTTGTAGAATACGAGAATTTTATACGATAAATAGCTGGTACCTACGATGATCTTACTGTCCAATTTTTGCTAATTGGAACGGATCGATTTGCTAAGAATGAAAGTTATTATATTAATATTATCTCCTTCAAGAAGCCCCAATTCTTTGTCTGCGGCGCTGTCTCTTTCAGAGTGTTCATGGTCTCTACATCACTTTGGTTCGTGGGGGGCAGAACCCACAAATTCCTCTCCAACCACAGACTCAGCGCGTTCAGATTTTTGATTAAGAAATTAGGGTCAAACACAACTTGGTTCACTACGTTTCTATTGATTTTGAGGCACTATATATAGGACCAACCATGAAGGATACATGTCTTACCTAGGTCAACTTGGTAATGATATTACCAGGACTCGGGTTTGTACGGACATATAGGCAAACAATATTATATATGTACGTATTCTTTCAGCTCACTTTAATATTTGGTTCTCAACTGTCTTTAATATAACCTTTTAGCGGACTACCCACTCCCTTTTCGCTATTCTGTAAAGAATTATTTGCGTACGCCATTTGTAAACAATTTTTTTTTCCTACCACATTACAAGCGATATAATTACCATTCTATATGTTAGAGATAATGTACACATAGGATTGTGACACTTGTAAACAGATTAAGAGAGTTAGTTATAGTTGTTAAGAATATGCAAATGTAAGTAGGGTGTAGTATATATACTCTTATAGTGTAATAGCTTGGTGATTAAGAAAAGAAATAGAAAATATCTTTCTCTCTCTATAAATCTCTTTCTCTGACTTCTCTCTCTAAGATTACTGTCTGTGATTCCCTTCTTCTTAGTTAACACTATATAGGTACACCAAGATGAATGAAGAGAATTAAAACATGGAATATAGTCAGTTTAGACCAGGTTATTATCTTTATGGATAACATAATTAGTTAATTTAAGCGCAATATTACAACACCTATTGTATGCAAAAATTTCTCGTTCAATTGAGTAAAGATATCGATATATATGTACATCCAACTGATGGCACAAGATAGGTGTACAACGCAAATTCCTACGTAAGTTCACGTAGTACTTTCACGCAAATTATATTAAACAGTAAGGTTTTGAAGGGTGGTTTTTCAATTCTGCCTCTTCCCAGAACTAGCAAGGGGAAGAAATGTCTGCTCCCCTCAGAGCAAGAATTTTATTCTTTTGCTTTGTTGCTTTTTCATTTTGGGACATTGAGTTAAACGATACAAGTTAAAAGTTGGTTGCCAGCAGCTGCAAGTTGGTGAAAAAGGCACCTTGCTTGGTCAAGAGAACTAATGATTGTATTGCAGCAAATGCATGCACTTAAGGCGCTTCTTAGTGCTAAAATTAGAGATTAATAGTGGAGTAATGCTAGTGAGAGCTAATTGAGTGGGTGTGGCACTGTGTTTAGGCGTTGTGTTTATAAAAAGCTTGTAATTTTAGTACTAGGTCATCAGATTTGTGTGTCAGAATAAAAAAACTCTCTTGCTTATCTTAGTGTTACTCAAAATAGTAATATCACTTTTAATCAAAATGTATAAGAGAAAGTAACCATTACATTGGAGTTTATGGTTTGGTATGTGAATTCTATCTAGCACTACCCAGTTTTAGAGTTCCATTAATCTACATATCCAACATAAATCCTATCTTAGATCTTAAACTTAAAATATGAAACCCTTAAACCCCGAAACAACTTGATTAAATTATAAAAAGAAACTACTTTTTACCATATTTTCCATACCATATTTTTCTACCTCTCTAATAAAGATGAGATCCAAACGTATGCATGTGTTGGTAAACTCTACCTCTATTAGAGAGGTAATACAAATGTGATGTAAAAAATGTGATAAGTGTAGCACTACTCTAGAACATTAGCCAACATGAACTACATATAGATCATTGTGCATTCTCTCCTCCCATCGTAGATGTTTGAACCGCCCATTGTGCCACGAAAAGAATGAGAACTACGAAGTGTTTGAAATGCATTTGGTCGAAAGACCTTTTCTCATCAATTTGGTGGTTTGCGTACACCCTCGAATATTACCATTATGTTTCATGCGACAATTTTGTTTGTCGCTAAAACAAACGGTGCATTATTTTCCCGCAGAAAAAAAATTCCGACAGCATTTGAAACTTGTTTTGAGGGCAAAATGTGTATCTAAAGCAAAATTCGTTTCCATGACTTTTTACTGAAGACCAATGTTTTGCGATCGGGAACTTTTTTCGAGGGTATTTGGGTTTCTCAAAAATTGTTGGTCGATAATGAACTTTTGTTTGTAGTGTCATTAGCTTTACTTTGATCTTTTCTCTTCAATTAGGGGCTAGTTTGGTATTGTTTTGTTTTTCTTAAAAAAAAAAGAAAAACTGCTTCTGCTGTGCTGTGAGAATAAACAGATGTAAAATAAAGTTGTTGAGTGTTTGGTAATTTTTTTTTGTAGAGGTGTTTTTAACAAAAAAATAAAATAGTGTCTGAGTGTTTGATAATCTTTTGTATAAATTGCTATGAATATATTAAATGACTAAAAATGATATGATATTTAATGTGATATAATATTATACGGGCAATGATTGTAATTTTGTAAAATATGTGAGAGTATACTTGCCATTGGAAAATTTCATTAAATGAGCACTATTTATTATGCTTTGAAAAAAAAAACTTTTTTAGAAGCACAGTAAACCTGCTTTTGCTTTTCTATGTTTTATTGTCATTGACATCAGTTTAAAAAAAACATTTTTTTTTTGTTTTGCCAAACACATTTGATGTTACAAATTTTTTACTTAGCTATTTTGTTTAAAAGTATCACAATCGCAAACCAACCCTAAACCAATGTAATCGAATATATTTAACCTATTAGTCATACACAATCATTTTCGCAAAAAGAGATCGATGCTTGTACGTAATATGGCCATGTATGTATAGAGATAATCCTAAATTGGGAAATCAAAACCCAGCATAGTATAAATGATTATGGGACTCCCCACTATGTTAGCATACAATCGGTTATAGTTCACAAAGCACATGATCTAGAAATGAAGAGAGATCGAGTTAGTCTTGTTATGGATTAGCTCAATAGTTAACTAACTCAAAAACATTTTCAGTAAAAGTATCTCGAAATTATTAATTAAAATGTAAGTGGTTGATGGGAAAAGCACTTGAAGTGCTTCTTAAATAAGCACATAGCGACTACTTCATGAAAGAAGCATATCAAAAACATGTGTTCCTGAAAGAAGCACGTGTTTACCGAGAGAAAGCACACAACATGTACTTTCTGAAAGAAGTGCAAGACTAACAAGGCTACATCAACATTCACACGTTATAACAAACACATCTGACCTGTAGTAGCAGAGTTCATTGCAACTATCTCAACCAAGTAGCAGCAAAACCTTCGCGTCCAAGAAACCACCAAGCAGTCTTCTACACACTCACTAGGCCTAATACAATCTCTCATACAACGGAGATCAATATGATTGTATCTAGCGTGTGCAGCGATCCTCTTGGCAAACCAATCCATCATATATAGAATTGCTAAGTTATCCTATAATTACCCAAGAGCTTGAGTTCATGTTCATATATATAGTCTAGGGAAAACCATATAGCTTCTAGATACTTGGAATAAGCACACAACTAAACTGCTAATAGGATTACATATAGAATTCAAAACTCCTATCTGAAGTACCAATTCAATAACAATCTTAGAACCAATATAGGTTGGGTTGAAGCCGAATTAATTTCATAATGCACTTCAAGTGCTTTTCTGAACTCCAAAACACTACTTTTCACTTTTTATGTCAAACATAATTAAAAGGACTTTTGATAATTAAAATTGTTTTTAATTATTTTAAAAGTACTTTCAAACCGACCTCATAATCTTGAGCTTATGGATTATTAAAAAACAATTTCTCAGGAAATGAAAGTTGAGCTCTTTCTTCTCTATCGTTCTCTCTCTTGTGTGTGTTAAATGTTTTCCACTATATTTCTACAACATTATTGGAGTTTATTTTGAATTGGTTTTAAGTTGAGTGCTTACTTTCTATAATGTAACGACTATGTTTTTATATTATACTTTGAGTTATAGAAAACAAGATTTTAATCCTTAAATAAGGTAAAGTTCATATTAATGTCTGGTACAAGATTCAAAATTGAGTTTAGTCCCTTGATTCTGTTTAAATGTCAACATTCATTTTCATGTCATTTTTATATAATTTTTTTTAGTAATTTCATAATTTTTCTTTTTCTAAGTCTACATTACTAATTCATTATTATAATATATTTCGATACAAAATATTTAAGTATAGACATTTCAGTCCAAACAAGTCAATTTAATATATTCCAGTACATTAAAATCAATATATAAGCTAACATTAGAAATTTTTAAGTTTTGATATTTTTTCAAGAACTAATGTTCAAAAACCCGGTTTGATATAGTAGGCAAGTTGCGATATAGATAACAGAAAGGGTGGGAAGCTCCACTCTCTTGTACACTAACCATCCCCACGTCTCCTCCTCATCATCATATTTATACTGTCCTTTGATGGGATTATCACCTTGAAAAGATGAATCCCCTCATTATTATAATCAAATCTTTGTTAGATGATAGCATTTAGTACGATAGGAGAGTGGGGTGATATAGAAGATAGAAAAGAGATATATATAAAACCACTGTTCTATTGACGTTTGATGCGCGGTTTACATACAATACGCAAATCCAACCCAGAACTAGTCCATCCAACACAAACTAAGCTGGCTTACAGCCTTACACCCCAACTCTCTTCACGGCGCAGTTCAGCAACACCTGGTTTGCACTTTCTACCTCTCAAACTCTTCACCTAGCTCACAATTGGTTCGTCACCCAAATACCTTCCCTCCATAAATGGCTTCCTCCATGAACTTCCAACAGCCACATCTCCACCATGTACACCACAAATACAACTACAACATCAATCAGTACGGGAAGTACTACTACAACATCAAGCAGTACTGGAAGTACTACTACTTCCACTGGGCGTCACCCAACGTACCGCGGTATACGGCGCAGGAGCAGTGGAAAATGGGTCTCAGAAATCCGAGAGCCCAAAAAACCTAATAGGATTTGGCTAGGCACATTTACCACACCCGAAATGGCTGCGGTTGCTTATGACGTGGCTGCTATCGCTCTCAAGGGTCAAGATGCTGAGCTCAACTTCCCCAACTCCGCTTCTTCATTGCCCGTGCCAGCCTCCACTTCACCACGTGACATCCAGGCGGCAGCATCCTCCGCTGCTGCTGCCATGGGAGTTGCAATTGATCACGGTTCTTATTCAAGGAGTGAGGTGCAGGGTGATCAGCAAGATGCTCATCAGGCTCATAAGACAGTTGATGAGGCTGATAGATTAATGTTGAATCAGGAGTTTGTTGATGAGGATCTGATCTTCAATATGCCTAACGTTCTAGTGAACATGGCTGAGGGAATGCTTCTTAGCCCTCCTCGCTTGGACATAGCTGGCGATGATGCTATAGGTGCTGATCAAGAACAAGGAGACCATAACCTTTGGAAATTTAATTAAAATCCCAGCTTAATTTTATCAACAGTATCAAAACGAGAAAAAAGAAATGAAAAAATATAACCGAAAATTAAAAAAAAGAAAAGAATAAAAGGACCTAACCCTTGATGTATATGCAGGGGGTCTCCATGAAAACCTATGAAATTGTTTAATGCTTGTTTCCTTTATTTTGTTTGTGAGAGTTATGTGATTGTGCAGGATTTCAAATATATAAGGAATTGCTGTGTTGTTGCTACTTTCTATCTGCATCTACGCATTCTTCATTAGACCACAATGTGCAATGAAACTTTTGTGTGTGTTTGATAATTTGTTTTGCTAATTATGTAAGTTCGCTGAATCAAACAATACTGTGAGGAGCTAATTAATACCGCCTAAATCGCTATTTATATACGTAAAAAAATTTAGAAAATGAAATATATATCTCATCCGCCTTCAAATATGTGGAAAACAAAAAAAATATCACCATAATCAAAATCATGTGGTGTTTTTCTCTTATTCTGCAGCGAGCTGAATAATCACGTCTGAAGTGCATCATGAAATGGAACGATGCAGTTCAAAAGCCTTCCAGGACCAAATTATTGCTCGACAATTTGACAATATGTATAACTTCCCCTAGAATCTTCCAAAACCTTGAAGTAGATAAAGGTCACCCTGAAATTCTGCAAAATGAAATATTAAAAGGGAACGATGAGAATCATTCTAGAATTGCATAGAAGCTAGCTAAGCGTTCAATCCATGGTTCAGTTTTAGTTCCTTCAGGTCTCAGAGCAAATGTCCCTATAGTTTGGTTTGGAAATTAAAGGAAACAGGTTGAGAGATTTAGTCAATAGAATAATCAAGTCCTACGTTGGATTTTATCAAATGTTTGAGATTTATATATACGTGCGTATATAGAATAGTGCTGTCTTTTCCAGATTCAGAATATTCAATCAGGATTAATCCCATATTAAGATGTCATTCTAGTATGAATAATGTTTGATTGGAAAAACCATTTATCAAAAAGAACATTAATATAAAATTATTATTTATTTATACAAAATTATTGCATATTTGTACTTATATTCTTCAAATTAATTAACCATGTAATTTGTGTTACTTAAAAGAGTATCCTTTAGATAGCTGGGCTGCTCGCTTTCTTTTTCTCTCAGGAAGAACAAAAAGGCCAGCTCGCCTCCAACTCCTTCCTTAGGTTGGGGTCGGTTGGCAACCATTTATTTTGTGCAATTATCCTTTTTCTCTTTCCCCTTTAGAATCTTCGGCCACGCCTTTGGTAAATGGCTTGTTTTGCCGGTGTGCTTTACCAATTTTCCGGTGTTAATCACCGTATTTTGTCTTCGGCAAATTTAACATCTATCCCTGTAATTGCGCTTCTTCAACCCCCAACATCCATCACCTTCCCTCCTTCATAAGCTCCCCCTTCTCACACACACTACTCCTCCCACAACCTTTGCTCAAAGTTATGAGCGGCAAACCTGATTTAGCCGCCATATCTCAATCCTTCCCTCATTACCCCTCGCCTGACCGACAAGCCGAAATATCGGGACCAAGCGTGTTGCAGCTTAGCCCAAGCCAGGGTGTTTTAAATGCGCCTTTAGCCCTATCGTCTTCTAAAAGTTTGTGTTTTTGGTTCTTTACCAGGGGTATGTGAATGTGGATTGAATGGGGGTGGTTCTTTTCCAGCCGCGGTTTTAGTGGCGAAATTTGGTCGGGACTGTTTTCCTGTTGTGGGGTTAAAATTTTTGTGTTGCAATGCCTTCGTCGAATCCAACACGGAGTTGATTTTCTTAAGACAGTACCCTTGTGACTGCTGGCAAGGTGATAGTGGTGGCAGTGGTGGGGGGAGCTGCGTTCTATCTTTGCGGGGTAAGGATTAGAATTCTCTTTTTCGTTTGTTGAATGAGCGTTTTGGTTATACCAAATTTTATTGGGTTATCTGAAGTAATGTGTAACAGTGAAAGGGCCCTTCCATCATTGAAAAAAAAAAAAAAAACCATGTAATTTGAATTAGATAGAGCTCCATAAAAGTCTATGGCCACCCTACTCTTTGTTGACGAGTCATTCTCAACAAGTTGATCACCTCTGACGTGACTGCCTAATAGTGGTAGAAGTTACCAGGGAATGTCAAAGATGGATGATGATCTTTCACCTTCCTATGGTTGGAACCTATATGCAAGGATGGTAGGTATATAGACTCTAGGCATATCAAAGAAAAACATTTTTTGTAACAACATAGGTAGAACATACTTATATCGGCCACAACATCTCTGAAATGTTCAACATTAATTTGAAAAAAAAATTGAAGAGGCGGAAAAAAGAGTGAAAAAGGATTTATGATAATTTCGTACATGTTTACAAAACCGATTAAAAGCTATGTAGAATTCACAAATTTAATGAAAATGACTATTGTTGAGTTTTGATAAAAGTTTTCGCCGTGCTCAATAAGGAAAATGTTATAAGCTATTTATATCTAGTCATATTTATTAAATTAAATAAGTTTTATTATTTTTAGGGAATTGTTATTGGCACTCCAAAATTCTTATTCTGCACTCCAAACTTTCTATATTTAAAAAGAAAAATACACTTGTGAGGAATATAGAATGAGATTTTTGAAGTGCCAATAAAATTTCCCTATTTTTATACAGTATTTTTGCACAATAACGAGACCTAGTTTAATTTCCACCAAAATATTCAATAGTTGGTCTTCTATTTTACCAATGGACTGATTGAATCGGATATGCTTCCTTCTCTGCTATGTGTGATGCTCCTTTCTCATAGTTTAAATTAAATTAAATTTTGAAGTATCACTTAAATAAAATAAAATAAATAAAAAAGGTACTAGTTGTTGTACCCTATTTTATCTGACTAAAGGGAGAGGGCCGGCGGCAAGGGAAGGGAAGAGAAGAGAAGATGTGTTTGTAGAATCGTAAGGGAGTATGTGTGTTGAAAGATATGTTATCCCCCTTACATACTGCCTTTATTTATAGTAGTAAAAGGGAGAAGAAATCCTTCATCTCCAAAGAATACAAGTCCATATAGGAAATAATAACTAGAATAAAATATAATATAGGATTTACACAATCACACTTAAACTATGAAAGTTCACAACACTCCCCCTTGCGTGTGTAAATACTCAAGGTAGATTTCAGCATCATGCAGAAGTTAAGGAAGTCTACTCGTCGGCATTGATTTTGGGAACAACGCTTATTCTCAATAAGGTAGGAACTTGCATAAGGAAGTAAGTCTCACTAAAAAAACTCCTAAGGCTATGGCAAAAACCCGAGTAGGGACAAAATCCATAGTCTAAGGAAAAATGTGAGAGAAATGTAAAGTTAAAAGAAACGTCTATGGGACGTCATCAGGGATATGACCAACCCAAGATGGGTGCCTCGTTAAAACCTAGTTAGGTAGCAAAAACATAATGGGAAAAATGCTCTTAATCGTAGGGGAAAAAAGTGCATTAAGATCAAGCAAGTATTCTTCAGGATACTCCTCTTGAGTTTGACACAATTCCAAAGAGAAATAACAATGTTACAACTCAGAAAGTTTATGCATACCAATTCCATGAACAAGCTTTTGAAACGTCGCCTTCGGTTGTGATTTGGTGAAGAAGTTAGCCAAATTGTCTTGTGAATGAATTTGCGTAACTTCAATCTTCTGATGCTCTTGTTGTTGATGTGAGAAGAAAAACTTCGGCGCAATGTGTTTGGTGTTGTCTCATTTGATGTAACCTTTCTTGAGTTGTTGGATGCATGTTGCGTTGTCTTCAAGGATCATTGTCGGGACATCTACGATGGAGTAAAGATAACAAAAGCTTCGAATTTGACCCGCAACTGCTCTCAACCACAAGCATTCTCGAGTTGCTTTATGTAAGGCGATAATTTCAGCATGGTTAGACGAAGTGGCAACTAAGGTCCGTTTAGTTGACCTCCAAGAGATTGATGTGCCTCTAACGGTAAAGATATAACCCGTTTGAAAGTGCACCTTGTGTGGATCAGATAAGTATCTTGTGTCGCATAATTAACAAGGCGAGAATCAACTCGAGAAGCAGGGGGTGCGACATCACTTAAAGGAAAGAACAAGCCCAAATCCGTAGTACCCTTAAAGCAGCGGAAGATGTCTTTCACGCCAGTCCAGTGTCTGCGTGTTGGTGCATTACTGTATCTTGCTAAAAGATTAACAGAGAATGAGATGTCGAGTTTAGTGCATTGAGCTAAGTACAATAAAGCGCCTATTGCACTTAGATAAGGAACTTCAAGCTCCAAAATTTCTTCATCATCCTCCATAAGATGGAAGGGATCTCGTTTTGCATATAGCGATCGAACGACCATAGGAGTAATCGAAGGCTTCACTTTATCCTTATTAAAGTGGCGCAACAACTTCTGGGTGTAGTTCGTTTGATGTACTAAGATTCCATCCATATGGTGCTCTATCTCGAGACTGAGATAATATCAAGTCTTTCCTAGATCTTTCATCTCAAATTCCGACTTCATGTTTGCCGCAGTTTTCGCGAGCTCTTCAGGAGTTCTGATAAGGTTCATGTCATCGACATATACTGTAACTATCGCAAAACTGGAATGTGACTTCTTAATGAACATACAAAGGCATAGTTCGTTATTCACATATCCCTGACCAATTAAATACTCACTCAGACAGTTATACCATATTTTTCTAGATTGCTTCAAATCGTAAAGTGAACGCCTAAGCCGAATTGAGAGCGTGTTCCAGGGTTTGGAAATATTTTATCCAATCAATGTAAGTCATTCGGGAACTTTCATATAATTTTCCGTTTCAAGATCCCCATAAAGATACGCAGTTACTACATCCATTAGCTGCATTATCAGTTTTTCAGAAACTACCAAACTGATAAGCTAGCGAAGAGTAATCACATCCATAACAGGTGAATAAGTTTCGTCATAGTCAATCTCGGGGTGTTGTGAGAAGCCTTGCGCAACAAGACGAGCTTTGTAACGCACAATTTCGTTCTTCTCATTACGTTGATGAACCAAAACCTATTTGTAGCCAACGGGCTTCACATGTGGAGGAGTAGAAGCTACAGGTCTAAACACCTTACGTTTCATAAGTG